TAGATTCAAAACAGGTGACCTGCTCTGCCGCGCCAGGTGCTTCGGCGGGTCCACTCAGCCCTGCGGTGTCCTGTGGACACCAGAGCAGCCTAGGCGTGCACACGCGTGGGTGTGCACGCGCCTCCTGGCCTGGGTTTGGCCTCTGCTCCCAGAGGTGGGGGAAGGGGTCCAGTTTGGGAAGCAGCAGCATTTCCCTATATAACTCGGTTGGTGACCTCTGACTCGGGTCTCTTGGAGTGTATTCCTAAACGCCGCGCAACTTCTCCAAGGCGCCTGGCGTGCTTCCTCGGAGAGTCTAAGCTCCTTGGCCCGCTGCAAAGAAATTGCAAGCCCGTTGGATTTGGTTTCAAAAGGATCTGGGGCCTGTGCTGGGATGGATCGATCTAGATCTACCCGGTCGGTGGTGAGAAAGCGGACGCCTAGGAACAGCGTTACGCTACGCGTTACGGACTACCTTACTGCGCCAGGACGCACTCCAAACTCCGCTCCCGCCTCCCTTGGCCTACGTCGCAGAAAGCAAGGATTCTTAAGGCTGGTTGGGGGCGCCAGAACAAGTGTCTGGATCTTGGCTCGCTCGGCAATGGCGGGAAGGGGTGAAAGGAGGCCTCTCTCTCTGAAAACCTCGGAGCCAAAGCCTCGCGGTGTTTATGTGCCCGAGCGAGCGCGCGGGCGGCGGAGGCGCAGGAGGCTGCGCAGACCTTTTATAGTTAAATCCTCCTGGCTCAAGCTAGGGGAGCCCCGGCAGCGTCTTGCCTTCCTCGGCGCCCTGAGAAGAGGCCCCCGATTCAATGGTATAAACAGAACGCGCCTCCTAGTTCCCTCGGCCCTTGGGCCGAGCGGGGGAGCAGACGTTGTTTAATTTCAAATAATAATAAATGTCACTGTTGTCAGTTTATTGCGGGAGGCTTCAGCTGGAGAACCCGGGGCGTCTGGAAAGACGGCTCCACCCTCCCTTTTCACACACTCAATGGCTTGGGCCTACCTCTCTCTCTCTCTCTTTCTCTCTTTCTCTCTCTCTCTTCGAATGCCTGCTCTGAGCAGAGTCGGGCTTTCTGTCCAGGACCCAGAGAGCCAGTGCAACCTGGGGAGGGATGTGGCAAGGTGGTCCCTCATCTAGGGCGCGGATGGACAAGCACTGAGACACACACAAGATACGGAGCCGCCGCACGATCCTCCCACCCCATCCCCCATAAATCTCGGTTTTTCAGCTAAAAATCTGCGAGCTTTTAAGAGCAACTCCGGGATGAGTGCCGCGGCGAAGCTGCCGTGTTTATCGGTGTCTGTATACAGAGCCCTGGTGAAGCCCTGGTTCAGTTTCAAAGGCTTCGCCTGCTTTCTATAAACAATGAAAAAAGAGGTAGCGAATACATTCTACGACCCAGGGTTTGGCAATCGGGTGGGACCCTGAAACCATTCCAAGGTCAGGGAGGCTGGGAATGGAGGTGGGGGCAAGAAATAGGGTCCCAAACCTATGAAACCCAAAGCCCTTCCCTGCCCTGTCTTCTCTGGCACCCCTCTGCCGTCTCTTTACTCCTTTGCTTTATTTTCTTTCTCTCCTTACTAATTTGCCCAGAGACCGTGGCCTCCCAAACTCTTTATTCTTCCTGTATAGGAGATGGAGGGAAATGCCCAGTGTCCGCGATTGAATTTTTTTTGCGGAATCCTTCCACCTTGCTGCAGATCAATGGCAGGATTCTCCCTGTACCTCTTAAACCAGAATAAGTCAAGCAAAATATACACCCTCTCTCAGGCTTTCTTCTCTTTTTTTTCTCTCTGTCCCTCTCTTTTTCGCCCTCTCCCTCTCCTCTGTGTCCCTCCCACAATGTCCCTCTCTCCGCTACTAACCCGGCTTACCTTCCAGCCTTGGTAATAATCATTTCCGTGCCGACTTCGTGGAATTTCAACCACAGTTCTCGTTCATGGAGAAATACCTTGATTCCTTCCATCCCCTGCAGGAAGGACAGAACAGTCACAGTGACCGTCCAGGTGACAGTGGGTTCCTCCGCCCCCAGACTTTGATCCTCCTGCCGCCTGGAGCCTGTTGGCTCTAAGGGTGAAAAGTGCCCCAGGCCACTGCAAAGTTATCTGGGCTCCAAGCACCCAGAAGCCTCTGCTCAGGAATCCCTGTGGAGGCTCAGTCCGGGAGGACGGACGATTCTAACAACCACTTCATCCCTCCGCTGTGCTATCTTGCCTTCTAAATGTCACCAGCACACTAGAAGACCAGAAAATAATCACCAGCCACCAGGGTGATCCAGGAGGTTTGTGGAAGGACCTGGTTGAGAAAAACTGGGGCTGACTTCAACCCTCTTCAGCCAAGATATGGTTCAAACAAACAAAAAACAAACCAACCAACAAAAAATCCTCAATGTAAAACAAACCCGCTTGGGATAGTCGTAAGTAGACACCCAGATGTCCACAAGCCAGACGCTCAGATGGGCAAATACTTCTCCGTAGGTGTGTGTTTATTCTCCGACCATACTGGGTGTGAACATGAAAATACATGCAGTTTTACATTGTAAAATCTTTATATTCAACTCTACTTCCACAATCCAGAACAACAACAACAAAATGAATTCTCAATGCCTACATTAGCAAACCTTTCTAGCTTCAACTAGTTTTATTCACATGGAGTTATTTGGATTATGAAATAAGACTCAAGCCATTGCATATCAATAGTTTAGCTTTCCACTAGAAGTTATTTTTACAAATATGACACAAAGTATTTCAAAATAACTTGTGTTCATCTAAAAAGATTTGTTTTTTTCTTTAAAAGAAAAAAAAATTGCACTTTTCCTCTAACTCTGCTCACCCTCTCTGCACAAACACACACACATTTTTCTGAACCCTGAAGGCCAAGGAGAGCGAGCCCACGAAAAAAAGCCGGGGAGGACATTGAAATTCCAAGAGGGGGTTTTAGCTCTACAAGGACGCCCGCTGGTTAAGTCACTCTTCTTCGAAACAAGTGACACTTTATTTAAAAAGTACAAGAGTAAACGGGCTGCTCAGAGCGCCCAGTGCCCCTGGGTTTAGGGCAGAAAACTCACGATGAGGCTCCTCCTTTAGCTTGGGCACAGCTTCTGGTCAGGCGAGCCCGCGGCTTCCCATACCCAAACCACCGCACAACCCTCCGCGCTCCCCGCGGCTAGCGAGCGCGCGCCAGCCAACTAGGCCAGACAAACGGTGCGGCGCGGGTCTAGGGGGCGGCGCGGAGGAGGCGGGCCGAGGCGAAGGCTACGAAAGATCTGAAGAGGGGTCAAGCCATCGCTCATGCCGGCCTGAAGCAGCCGCTGACCCGGCCCTTAATAAGGCTCTCTGGCCGATTCTACACCTAGTGCAGCAAGAAAGGAATTATCTGGTCATTTTCAGCTGACCCCAAAGAGCGGGATAATTGAGGTTGCTTTAACAACTTAAACATGGTTCACAAATCCTCTGGCCATAAAGAGAATCGTCATAATAAAGTGGATTGAAATATACTGGCATTTGGGGAGACAGGGCAAGGAAAAGTGAAATTAGATAAGAATAAAAAGGAAAAGCAAAGACAATAGTAATGGACAGTGAGTTTTGTTTTATTTTGGTGTGTGTGTGTGTGTGTGTGTGTGTGTTTAATTCTCCTGCAGGAGCGCAGAGCAGGGAGGCCAGACTCTCACTTTGGCGTTTGCAAAGGGTGTACATGAGGTCTTCTTACCTGCTGGGTGAAGGCGGCTTGCGGGGAGGAAGGAGATTTGCTGGAGGTCCCTAGCGCGCTCTCGGGTTTGGAATCGCAGGACAGATCTTTTGAGTCCGGTTCCAGAGGCGTGTGCGCCAGGCCAAAGCCCTCGTCTGCGTCGGCCATGGTGTTCCTGGGGCTCTGTGCCCGCGTGAGGATCTGCTCTGAGGAAGAAAAAGAGGAGAGAAAGGTTGGAGAATGAATGCAGTTCTCGCGACTGGAGGGAACGGTGGAGTCCCTCCGTCTCCAGCTACCCACAGCTCCGTTCCCAGTGAAAGAGGCTTCGGGAGGTTCTGTTATTGTTATTACTATTACTTTATGACCAGCTCAACCTCTTGCGAAACACCCGCGTCAGACCCAGAGGAGGCGAGGCCCTCGCATCGTCCCTGCGCTGGCTCTCCGGAGATAAGCGAGCTGCCCGTCAAATTTGTCTGGACTTCTGGAAGAGCCAATAAAGATAAGGCGTCGGTATTTTTGGAAGCCATTGGGAACCAACCCAAAACAAAACAAAACAAAAACCCACTGTCCTTTTGAGAATTTTTTTTTTTCTCCATCACATTACAGGAGGGCCGTCAGAGACCCCTTTGTATGGAACTTCACCCAGCAGGCTAGATTTCTTCAGCAGGCAAAGTGTCTGAAATAACCCGCCTCTTGCAAAACCAAAAAAAAAAAGAAAGAAAGAAAACATAGAAAGGAAAGGAGGAGGTGGAGATCCTAGGAGCAGGTTCAAAACTGAATTGATGCACACCCTCTGATCCGTTACAGGCCTTAACGTGAAAAAATCCTCTACAATGGAAAGTAAGCCCTCTCCTTTTCACAACCTGAAGCATGACTCCTTCAAAAATAAACAGTAACCGCACAGAAGGCCAGAGGAGAAGAGCCGTGGTGCAGAAGTTCGGAGGACCGCGCGCCTGCATGCACGCCGTCAGGCAGTCCGCGCTGTGCCTTGGGCGGGCTGCGCTTTCTCCCTGCTTTCTGGGCTCGCTAGCCTGCATCGGGCATTTTGTCGAGTGCCTCGACCGAGGGGAGCTTCTCCGAGCTTTGGCCAGAAATGGCTCGCTGAAACTGCAGGCCCAGGGTCAGAAAAGACAAAATCGGTCCCAGAGAAATTCTGAGCTTCGGGCGTGGATCGGCGGGCCGCCCGGGTCCTCAGCAACTTCTAGAACCACCCAGGTCTGCAAGCTACTTTAGTTGGACTGAGCTGCAAGGGCCGTTAACTGCTCAAGCAGGGGTGAGTCTGTCTCCTGGTCTCTGATCTCCTTCCAGTCTCTTCTACCAGCCCAAGTGGAGATTTTCCCTTACCCTACACCCGCACCAAAACACAGGCAAGCCTTTGCAAAGGCGTGCAAGCGAAGGTCTCAAAAAACTCAGCAGCTACTTAAGTAAAATGTTGGATCCGGCGGCTGCCGGAGACCTGCAAACCGGCCCTGGGAGAACAGCATCCGAGGCCCCACTCCCAGCCAGCTTCCCTCATCTCGTCCTTAGGGTTTTGGGGAGGCTGTGATCGGAGCCTGCAGACGGCTCACAACAAAAGAACACAGGCCTGGCGGCCCCGACCTGCATGCCCATTCAATGCCGGCCTCTGGGAGATTCCCACCCCGAGCTCTCGCCCGGGTCCCGGGGAGCTCCCGCTTGTCGAAGACGAATGAGATACGGTTTGACAGAACCAGGCCGCGCGTCCTTGCAATCCTCAACGCAGTTCCCTCGGCCTCGGCCGCCTCCCTGGTTCCACTCACCCAGGAGCTCCAGGCCCAGCCTTATCTCGGCCAGCCGGGCTTTGCAGAAAGCGAGGCCAGGCTGCAGTCCGCCATTCGCCGCCGCCCCAGCCTACTCCGCCAGCCCGGCTCCCTCCCGAGCCTCCCCCGCCAGCTGCGGGGACGTTTACCTCGCTCGGTGAAGCCGATGCATTCACCACATCCCCTCTTGCTTCTAGCAGGGAAGCCGGCAGCGAGGCGGGGGTGCAGGCATGGTGCCTCCGGGATCTACGTGGATGCACCGCTCGCCTACAAAGGAGCACCCGCTGCTGGAGTCTCCGCGGCGACTGCCCACCAGCACACACCTCCTCCACTTTGCGCTCGCTCTTCCTAAACGCTTCCCAGTTGTCAGGCGCCAGAAGGGCCCCAAAGGACACAAAACAGCAGCCTCCCGCAGCACCCGCAAACACTCCTTCCTTGCACCCCCAGGGAGGGAGAGTTCGGAGACCAGAGAGCGCGGTGGAAGTGGAAATGCTCCGTAGTCCTTTCTGAGCGCCGCTTTCAGGGTTAAAGTTCCAGAATTCGAGGTAAGCGTCTTGCTTTCAGAAATACAAGCCGGTTCAGCTCAGCGCAGTGACGTTGGGTTGCCGCGATGCTTACAAAGTACTGAAATCGTCTATCCAACTAGCTCCCACCGCGCGCGCCGCCCGCCTCTCTCTCTCTCTCTCCCTTTCTCTCTCTCTCTCTCCCTCTCTCCATCTCACTCTTTCTCCCTCCCTCTCTCTCCTCCCACCCTCCCTTTCTCCCTTCCTCCTCCCACCCCCCCAACCTTTTCCGCAAGATTTCCCCAACACTCAAATCACAATGGGACTCTCCAACCCAGACCTGGCTGTTGGTCCTCTCCCCTCCACCCCCTTCCCAACCTCCATCCATCTCTGCTTCTCTGAGCACTCTGTGACTGCAAAAGAAGTCCTACACAAAGCATTGCAAATTCAGCCTGCTCCCACCAGGGAGGCATCTCCACAGGGTGGGCATGCAGAGAGCCACGTCTGACCTTCCTAGGCATGCACACACGGGGTGGGCCTCCGCAGAATCACCCACATCCTCTCCTGTCCTAACCTCGAAATGGGAAACTGCATGACCCTGCCTGGCCCGGCTGAGCTGGCACTGGTGGCCCTGACATCTCCCCTCCACCCCCCACTCATCACCCCCACTCTCCACAACTCCGGGGTGGAAGGTGTGCTCTGGGGTGGAGGCTGAGATCAAAAAGATGCCAAGAAGTTTCTGTGAGCCTCTACCCCCCACCCACTGGGGCCACTGGACCACCCTGGCTGGAGGTGTGTGAAAGGCAGTGCCCAGTTTGATTAAAATAATCAAACAGTCATTGGGGACTGGCTGGGGTTTTCCTATCCACCTGGCTTCTCTCCCTGCCCTTTCCCTCTCTGAAATGTATTATTTCGAGGGCGAGTTGAAGAGGTCAATAGAAGCGTAAACACAGTCTTAGTCGGAGTGTAGACCTAGGATCCACAGCCAGCCGGGCTCCATTCGGTTCTCCATCCTGTATGCCTTACTTCTGCTCTCTCTGGGAGCTCAGACCAGAGACTTGGGCCTACAGGCCACTGACTGTCGAGAAGGATGGAGGGGAGAGAAATACCCCCGGCCCAGCAGTGGTATAACTCTCTGTGGTTGCCAAAAGCCCAAGCCAGGCCACCGCTGTGGGATTCCAAAGTGGACTATCCAAGCGTCAAGGTGTGGCAACCAGGGAGAAAACCCACCACGGGGTTGCTCCCATCTTTGCTCCCCCTTCCAGCTTTGTTTGCAAATAGACATCTGCCAAAGCAGTTTATTTATTTGTGAAAACACCCTCACCCGTCCAAAATGTCAGTTCAGAGGCCTTTGGGCTTGACTAATGCAGCCACTGGCCAAAGACAGAAAATAAACACAGCATCGGAGATGAGCCTGAATCCCTGCATCTCTGATAGGAGGAAGGGGGAAATCCAAAAAGATCTCTCCAATCCCTTTAAATTCTCAGAGATTTGCGGATAAAATTAATTCCCATAAATAATCTGCAGGGCCCTCCCGAGAGAGAAAATCTGGACTCTCCCAAGTAATAGCCCAGCCAGACGGGCTGAGTTTGTGGAGTGTAGACCGTGTGGCCACGGCACACAGACACACAATCTGGGAATCCATTTTTGCCAGGTGACCCATGAAGGCAAAATGCAAGGAGTGTCTTCATATTGCCAGCATTAAAGATAGCAACTGGGGAGAGGAGTCCCACAAGGATGAGTTGGGGTGGCAAGCCAAGCGCCCCCCCACACACACACACCAAGCAGTAGAAATACAGAGAGAAACTGATTGCCCCCTAAGTTCTTCAGAACAGACACTCACCTCCAAAAATCCCACCTCTTCGGTGCAGCGCAGAAGCCAGGAGTGGCGTTTTTGCTGGGAGGGGTGGGGTGTTCAGGTGAAGAGTTTGGAAAGGAACCCCCAAAAGACACTCCGCTTAGGCCAGGCCTTCTTCCAGAGTCTGTCAAGAAGAGCAGTACCTCCCAGCTCGAAGTTGGTTTGTGGTCTCCGACAAATTAAATATTACTGTTTATTACCAAGCATACCCCAATAAAATAAAGAGGCAACCAGCGATATGGACTATCTCACCAGCCTCTGCACCTATAGGACTTGGAGACGTCACGAGTCACGCAACCAGCCTGCGCGCTGCCACGCTTGACGAGGGGGCAGCGGCTCCAGGTTAATTTCACTCGGTCTTCGCCTATCAGTCCCGGGTCTGCGCAGCCCCAAGTCCCGGCTGCCTCGCTCCAGGAATAAATAAAGAAATAAACAAACCCAGCACGCTCTCCCGGGAAATGGGGGTGGTGAATATAAAACAGACAGAGCCAAGATTTTTTTTTTTGGGGGGGGAAGAGGGGGAAGGGAATGCTGATCGAAATGAGGTGGGAGCCCACCTAAGCCCCCAGATTGGAAAGAAATTAAGTTGTTTCAGAGGAACGAGATCTCTTGGAGGAGGCAAGAGATTCTGGTTATTTAGGATTTTTTTTTTTTTGCTTAAGAAAGGTTCTGGGTAGATGAATATCGAGTTCTGTTTGGGACTGGGACTCAATAACTCAGTGCCCTTTTTCAGACCTGCGTAGGAGTAATAACTGAATTATCCTGCAGCGGGGGAGAGATATTTGGAGGAAGAGTCGCCCACAATGTTTCTTGCGCAGAAAAAGGTCTAAGACTGCTCCTTCAGCTAAATCCGGAGATGCAATTTGTCCGAATGGCCTGGCAGGGGCGGGGTGCGAGTGGGTGGTGGGGTGGGGGCGGGGTGGACGGCAGCGATTTCTGCAGAGAAAAATTATAACGCCAAGGCCCGCAGAAGGAAGAGGCACTTTATTTTGTTTTGTAATAATTACGAATATTATTTTTGGTCTCATCAATGGGTATAATTACTAAGTAGCCAGATGGTGGACGTGTGCAAGGTTTTGCCTGCAGCTGGAAATCCGCTGGTTCAATCGCGAAAGGTACTGCGTAGACGCCTCTGGCGGTGTGGAGAGACAGAAGTAGGCCTGCCTAGCGCCGAGCGGGCAAACGTCGGGCCTTCGGGAAGGGTAAGTTCCCCACCTAGGGCCCCGCACCTCACCTCCCGAGGGCGCTGGACGTCTGAATGTGGATTTGCCTCCAGCATCGGGGTTCGATCTGGGTTTTGCGCGCCTCCAGCCTCTAGGGCTTTCCGAAGCATGGCCTGGCTCTAGGCCTGTTCCGCCGGGACTGGAGCGGCGGGGAATTGAGCACAGACGCCGTCTGCCCAGCAGCTGTGAAGCCAGGGTCAGGCCCGTGGGGAGAGCGGGGCGGTGGCTTCCAGCGCCCGCCACCGGCTCCAGGGCCAGCCCAGTCCAAGATCAGCCGCTTCCAGCGAGCAGGAACCCGCGTCCCTCTCCTCATCCCAACCTCAGTGGCTTTCCCCGAGCTTCACTTTCGTTTCCCAAGTTATTAAAAACTAACTTTCCCTAAATCCGAAGCCGATTCGAAGCAGCAAGCAGCGTTTGCTCCCAAATGCTAAGAACACAACCCAAAAATCCTTTGCACAAACCCTAGAGATGCGTTCCTAGTTGACCTCTGGACCGAAAGGGCCGGAAACTGGGGCCTTGGCTCCACCGGGGCTGGTAGGGGGAAGGTGAAACTCAGAACGAGAGAGTTTTCCTTTCCCTTTGTGGCTTCTATCTCTCGAATCCCAGACGCAGACGCAAGGCCCCTTGGACCAACTCAAAAGAGCTTCTAAAAGCCCAGCTTCAGAGACCCACTTTCCCAGACCCTCCGGAGCCTCCATCCTGGATAGAATAAACTAACAACCTCGACTAGATATGAGAATTCCTATTCTTTTTCCCTAATCACTTGGACAGTAAACAACAGAGCCTGCTGCAACCCCAACCTCCCTCCTTTCGTTCTGAGAAAGAATACTTTTCCCTGCTCTCCTTCTACCTTGGTTTTCTCCCAAACTGTATTTTCTTCCTCTTCTTCATTCTTGCCTGTTTTGAATGGTGCCATGGACAGACAAGTAGAGGTTAAAAACTTCAAACCCGAACCAAAGGGACAATGGCTGTTGAGGTTGGTCTGCTCCTTTTCCTTCCATTTTTAAGAAAGTTACTTCCCAAACAATGCGCGCTCTCTCTCTCTCTTTCCTCTCCACAGAGAACTTGTCTAAGAATACACCCCCTTCGCTTGGTCTGCCTCTCTACTGGGAGCCCCCCAAAGTAGAGAGAAGTTGCAGGAAAATGAATGCGAATTATGAAAACAATGGAAATGACAAAATAAACGGACCAACTCCTTTTGCAAAAGCAAAAGTCAGCCCAAGGGTGGGAAATGTTCTCCTTCCTGGGGGGAGGGGGTCACGTTCTCTCACCCAGTTGAATCTGGCTCTATGATATAATTTTCCAGGGCCACAGTATCTGCCTTCCCAATGTTTTATTCCGCTCCTGTTTCCTCCTTTGGACCAGACGTATGTGGGGAAAGTACTGACTGTTGTAATAATGATTCGATATTCCCTATTCTCCGCCAATGCAAAATGACTGCTGTTAGTCTTATCCGTGAGATTGTTGTTTCATACGCGTAGGAAATATTTCTCCCCGCGCCCCAAGTTTGCTGGATGAGATGTTTTTCCCCCTCCAATTCAGAAAAGAGAAATGCAATTGTCTCCATGGCTCTAGAGACGATGCCGATGGAACACCAGTGCTGGGGATTTGCACACTTCTAAAGAGCAGAGACGTGGTG